GAATGCCTCTGCCAAATGAGCAGCCCTTACACAGAGACTGTGGCAGAGAATGTTTTCTTGCTATTTAAGATCATGTGTTTGGTTCCTCTGCCAATTGTAAAGGAAATTACGTTCATGGAGCTCTGAATCACTGCGGGAACCTTTAGTGTAGCTGCTGGAGTGCTCTTGCTCCTGTTCCCTGTTCTCATGATGGTGAACAAGAAAGAAAAGGGAAGTTTTAAACAAGCAAAGAGGAGGTTGACATGCTCACGCTATTGAAAAGGTAAATGTGATCTGGTGTTTCTTGTATTCCAGAACCTCAGAGGAAGGTGTTGGAACACAGGAGTAATATGCTTGTAAAGCTGTTGAGATTGATAATTTTTGAAGTTCATTTAATTGATCCGTGAATTTTAGCTGGTTTCTTTGCTTCCTACGTGGGCTGTCATGCATTTCCTGTCTTGGAAGAGTCCTTCCTGACCCTGAGTTGTGGAATGCCAGTAAGCACAGAAAGAACTCTACTGTCAAGTTTTGCTGTCAGCATCATGTTCTTTCCACTGGGAGTGAACATGGAATATGACCCAGTGGTAAAACAGCGTTGTCTAAACCTGTAAATTAACCACACGTGCTCCAGCTTAGTGTTGTGTAGAGTTTCACCTATTTACACAGTCTGACTTAGAGCTACCACAGATGGGGAACTGTTTTCCTCCTCCTTCAGTGGGAGGGGCATCACAACTGCAAATAAAGCTGTTACTTGACTCTAGGGAATAAATTCCTCCATTGTTGAAATATTACCCAGGACTAAATCAGTGAGCACCTGAATTCTCACTTCATGCCCCATACAAGGGAGAACTAAGATCCATGTAACTACTTCTAACTCCTGCAGAGGTCTCTGAATGTCCTAAATCTGGTGAGCTTTCAGCTTTCCCACTACTAGAAGACCGCAGCAGTCACAGCCATGCCTGTCCCCTGTGTTCTGGAAGTGCTGTTCAGGCTGACCTGTGAACCTCAGATACTCGAGTTTGTTATTTACATGAGATTTACATGTGGCTTGAAAAAAATCATCTTGTTACAAGGAATAGTCAGTCCAACAGTAGCATTTCTGTTCAATCCTGTATGCAAAGCTGCAGAATAACAGGTTTGCCTGCTGCTTTGCTTCTCTCAGATGAATCTAGCACCTCCTGTGCCTGTTATTAATGTAAACATCTATCCCTGTTGCTCATACATGATGCTTATGATGATTCCTTTAATCTAAAAATCTTTTTATTAAGAAATCAATCTGAATATCTAAATCATTGAACCTCTCCAACAAAACGCAGGATCACAGAGCAGTCACTTCTGCTTCACAACTAAACAATTACCAACTCCATAGCATCCTTCCAGGGGGAATCTGAGATGATTTTTCATGTCTCTCTAGATTCAGATCCTGACAGCAGAAACTGCAGCTATAGCAGTATTATTATATAAAGGGAATGCCAAATAAGTCACCTGTCACCTGCCAGGCTTAGCTGACTTGTGTTGCTTTGTTGTATAACCATTTGTGATTTACTGTAGCTACACACTTTTTCCCCTCATCTGTGCGTGCTTTGTTAGGCTTCTGTAGCATGTTATTATGTCATAGCAAAAGACTTAAACAAAGAGCTTGCTCTTGGTGTGTCATGTCACTTACAGACACATTTGATCCCTTTGTAAATGGAATGTCATGTTTGCCTTGTGATGCACTGCAGAGCAGATGAGATGCTTTTGCAAGACTTAGAACTGAACATGGATTTAATAATTCATTTAAAATAGTGTTAAATCTGCTGCTGACATCTAGTGGGTACTTGCATTTGTTAATACTCATGATCAGAAAGCATCAAGCTTTTCTCAGTCTGTGAGGTTGTCTCGTCTTTGGATCAAAATAAAACTCCCTTGGTTTTGATTAAGGCAAATACATGCTACAGAGATGTTAAACTAGTTATCAATGACATGTGTTCCAGCACGACAGGAAGGGGACACAAACACCAATTCTTTTGGATGTGAGTAAACAGCTCTTGAATTGAAGATCTTGCTCTGAAGTCCAGGTCTCCTGATTACCACATCCTGCAGCTACACCACAGGACGTGGCTGCTCCATCCCTGGCAGCATTAAAGGCCAGCTTGGACACGGGCTTGGAGCAACCTGCTCTAGGTTGTCCCTGTCTGTGGGTTAGAACTGGATGAGCTTTAAGGTCGTTTCCAACCCGAACCATTCTGTGATTCTATGAAGTCTCTTATCCTTTGCTCTTCTACTTTATATGTTGCTGGCTTCTCCGTGTAGGTGATGGTTATGTTTTGATAAGCGACTACAGAGCTCTGTGGTGTGGTATCCAAAAGATACCAGTGAAAATGGGGAATAGTATGCTTTGAATTCCTGGCTAGCAGGATATCTTCTTTTTCAACTAGAAATAAAGATTCTAATTTTTTTGGCACGATGGTTTAAAGAAGAGTTAATACGTAAGCTTGGTAACTTGCCTCCAGTGAATGTTGGTATCGCAAACGGAACTACTCAAGGTTGGAGTAAGACGTGAAAAGTTGGCTATCCAGGCCAAATAGTGAAGCCAGGGGTTATGAGAGCTTCTTCCAGGAGTATGGTCCCCTGTATTCCTGACTTTTTCCATAGCATTTATTGCTGGGCTAAGCAGATAGTTACTTTGCTGTAACATTCAATTAATATTCTGCTCTTCAGGATGTTGGAAGCTGTAGAAGCTGGTTGAAGATTCCTGCAACTAGTTAGGTGTGATTTGCTGGTATTGTGAGTTCCCGAGCTTGAGGCGCTTGCCTTAAGTTGTTTACCTAAAACCACACACTAGGAAAGTGGTATAACTGGAATTGGAGCCCAGGATTTGTGGCTTCCTCTTCAATTCTCTGATCCTTTAGGAGTCTCTGAGAATTCAGAAGCGGCGCGTATTTAGATGACACAATTGCTCTCCTTTTTGCATGACTTGAGGTGACAACCTGGGGGTAATTACAGCTGTGTGACCTCTTGGATTTAGTTTTGAAGAAGTTCCCACTGACACACAGATTCGTTTTAGAATTGAAACTGCAGAGGCAACAATTTCTGGTGTCCCTGAATGATGTGAAGTGAGAATTTCTTATCAGATTATCTCGTTAGCTCCCTGTATTCATGGGAAAACCAAACTTTTCCAGGCTGATAAAGCCACTCACTTCTTGACACACTGAAAGAAGCCAGAACACGGACAAGTACAGGTCTGCTTTTGCAGTTAATGTGAACAGCAAAGGCTCTTGCCACTGGTAACTTACTGGTTTTCTCATCACTGGAACATTGAGGAATGAACCCAGCTTCTCAACATCTTTTTCTATGGGTTTGCTTTTCTTTTCAACTCAAACTTAATTTGGGACAATGATATATTAAGACCCCTTTACTCACTATGCCCATAGCAGTGATGTCTGCAAGGGGACTGCTGTAAATGATTATGGTCTCTAAAAGCAGTTTACATACATTGCTTTTACCACAAGTTGAACTGCTAATTCTCTTCCATCTCCACGCAATAATGAGGGTATAGTGCAGTCCTCTTCCCATTGGAAACATGGCAACACAGGCAGGAAACCATCTGAATCCCAAATCACAAAACACTGAAGTTCATTGCAGATGGCTCTATTAAGCGTGTGGAAGTGTAGGACTTAACTGCTGTTTAATTTATCAAGATTTATCTGAATCGTATCACCTTTGCTTTTGTATTTTGTAATGGATTCTTTAAAGGTGACTTCATCTCTGCTCTCACTGAGAGTTATGTCATCTGCTTCAGATTGCTGTAGAATGTCTCTTCGAGTGCCTTATCACCCCTTAAAACGAAAAAGGCTGGGAAAAAACTTAAGACTAAGGTCAAAGAAGGGACAGGTTTGTCAACTGATAAGGGTATAATTGGGCAGATGTATTAATACACTAATTGGATCCACTTTGCTACCAAAAAAAGGGGGGAAATCCTGTAATTCTGTGGTAAGAGTAAAGTATGGTCAAAAAAAGCTACTTGTATTTCCTGCTCTGAGAGTTGTGACTGTTTTCCAGGGGTTGATCCAGCATTACAGAAGGAATCCAAACCTCAGATGCCCGTTACATCTGCCGCTCCAGCCTCAGCATCATCCTCATCCTCAGCATCCAAGTTTCACCGAGCTCGCTCAGGGGGAGCCCGAGATGAACGTTACCGATCGGGTAAGGGCAGGGGCAGGAGTTCACCTGGGATCCTTGTGCATGGGGACAAACATGCTGTGTCCTCACAAAGGGATCAAGCTTATTTGTCCACTGGTGGTGGTTCTGTATAAAGAAACATCAGACTTGTAGAGCTGCAGCTGCTGAATCAAACAGAATGTGAGTAGAAGCAGCAGATAACTCTTTGCCACCTTGATTTTCTGGCTTGAATGCACCTCTTCAGTGCAAGTTGTTGACAGAATGGAAAGCTGATTTTAAGCATGGCTGTAGGTAACCAGATGCAGTGAAGTGAGAGGTGGTAATCTGTTCCTGGAATTGGGGATTGCTGTGCGTATCTGCTCTGGGAGCTTGGAGGATGAGAGCTGGCTTTCTTTATGTGTGAGAATAGCTTAACTTCCAAAGAGCAGCAGCAATGGCTGTCTAGCACCCTGCTGATCCCTTCTATCCCTTCCGCATAAGGAAAGGAGAAGGTGGCAGCACCTATTTTTCATTTCCATCTGGCTTTGTTTTTCACTTTGCTTTAACAAGATTGAAGTTTTCTTCTCAACAGGGGCAAGTAAAGTGTATCAGCTCTACCTTCTCCAGCGACACTGCTATCATACGCCACCATTGCAGAAAGCATTGGAAGAGCCTAGTTTTCTGGGGTTTGGAAAAGCATAATTAAAATACATTAATCTGAGAAATTAATATAGATGGGCTCTCCCTTGTTGTAGTATTTTTTTAAGAAGCAGTCTTCTCATCACCTGTGAGGTGTCCTCCTTCTCGATGTTCACAGGGGGGTGGAAGCCTCATGTCCTAGCCTGTTGCACTTACTAATGAGCTCTCATTTACAGCTGCAGTTATTACCTTTTAAGATTTACATGAAAACCTGTATCCATCCGAGGTTTTGAACATAAGGTTTTTCCTAAATCAGAATTGTCAGTTTATAGACCATAGTTGCACCTGGGGCTCTATACACTGTTATCTTATATACATATTTTAAGCATATTTTAGGGTTATAGTTGGCTGAGGGGAACAATCTGGTGTGGTTGGAGTTTCTATATAAGTTGCTAGAGACACAAGAATATAATGCCTAATCCAGAAGATTCCAGACTAAAAATGATGGCCTTGCTATTAGCTTGTTAGCTTTAGAAACCTCAGTTTCCCTGTTTTTAAAAAGAAGAAAGGAAACGTTACTCATGAGATGGCAAAACGCAGGTACTGTAAAACAGGGAATTGCATAAACAGGCAGCAGTAGCTGCACATGTGTAAGCCTGGTGTGTTTCTCTTCCTCTTCCACTGTTGCAAAACTGTGTGTGTGACCTTCTCTTTTGCAGATATCCACACAGAAGCAGTTCAAGCAGCACTGGCAAAACACAAAGAACAGAAGATGGCCCTGCCCATGCCAACAAAAAGACGCTCCACCTTTGTTCAGTCTCCAGCTGATGCTTGCACCCCTCCAGGTTAGGCTCTTGCAGTGCTCGTGGTTGTGTGGAGGGTGAGGTATGCACCAGGAACAGGTTCCAAAGCAAGAGGCTGCCCGTGTCAAAGTACTGAACCCCTTCAGTACACGTGTGGTAGCGTGTTACTCCTGTAGTTCTCTTACTACATCTGAGCAGCTGCTTGTTTTCGTGGAGCTGCTGCTGCGGCTGTGAAAATGCCTCCTCTTCTGGGAGCTTCCAAAGAATCAATCAGCAGGAGCTGAGCAGGATTTCTGGACTGAGGCTGCTTCTTTTGCTTCCTTCACACCTATTTTAGTTGCTTACTTCACGTTTGATTTTTGTTAAGGTTGAATATTTAATCTACAGGTAAAGGATGTACATTTCTGGGCAAGGACCTTGGAGGGGGTCCTGTGGGATTCCACACCTTGCAGGACTTTTCCTTCCTAACCCCTCCCATGTAATGGCTGCCGCAGAATTCCTCGGATAACGTGGTGTCTGAATGGTGCATGTGCATCAGATATTAATAAATCTCTGTTTTCAAGCAGCTGTATGCACTGGCTTAAAAATGAATATGTGTAATCTTCAGCAGTGACTTTTATGTTGTCTCTCATTGTGCAGAAGCATCACAGTCATTTGGATTGACAAAGACATCTAATACTATGAATTCATATCTCATTGTGAATTCATATCTCGCTGAAACTGCTCTGCTAGGCCTCTTCACTCCTTCTTGTGCCTCTTCCTTTCCCTCATACTTCTGTTTTCTTTTCCCTTCTACTGGGGGCTAATGCATGTTCCTGGTGTCTGCTGGGGTCTCAGCTTTGAACTAATTTGTCCAGGCCGACAGCACATTGAGCTCTGGGCACTACACATATCAAGGTTAGCACTTAGAGTATGTCTGGAATCAGCCTTTTCTTCAGCTCCTGTCTGCATTCTACTTTGGCAAGTAGGTGGAACATGATTCAATAATTGGATTTAGAGTATAGACAGGCAATGACTTTGAAGAACACACAATATTTAGGCCAAAGCCCAACTGAATGTTTGTATGTAGCATTGTACAACTTAAGATCCCAAGTAATGAGTGCTTTCTTCATGATAAATAAGTAATGAGCTCACAGCTTTAGGACAGATGAGGCATCTGTTCTCAGAAACACAGGATGCAGTTCCTCATTGTAGTTTGCTCTGTTTTGTTTTGGGGTTGGTTTTTTTGGGCTTGTTTTCTGCAATTGAAAGGGACCCATTTAGAACATCAGACAAAAGCATTTTCTGCACGTGGCCCTGGCACACTTGTTTCCCAGTGCCTGCATTCTGCTTTGTTCCTGTGAACTTCCAGTTTTGACACTGATCCTGACCCCTCACTTTCCATTTCAGAATCACCAAAGTTAGGCAAGACAACATCTGATATTACAGAATAATGGAAAATGAATGAAAGACATTAATAAACTTAGGGAACCCAGGGGAAGGATGCTTTGTCTGAGGAAGTGAATCTGTCGTGTGCTTTAAGCAGGGGCAAACCACTAGGGGTAAATGTGTTCACACAGGAGATGTCTGCTGCTTTAACTTCTCGTTTGGCCAATGTAACCTTGTTTGACACAGCCCGTGGAAAAAAGATCTTCATGTTAAAAGAAGCCATTGGTACATGGATTGGAAAGAGAGCATGTTCCATGTGATGTGCTTTTCCCTAAGCAGCTAGATTTTCTTTTCTGCTTCCACACAGACACGTCTTCCGCATCCGAGGATGAGGGGTCGCTAAGGCGCCAAGCTGCTCTTTCTGCTGCATTGCATCAGAGCTTACAGAATGCTGAGTCTTGGATCAACCGATCTATTCAGGGGTCATCCACATCTTCATCAGCATCTTCTACACTTTCCCATGGAGAAGGCAAAGGGACCAGTGGGTCACTAGCTGATGTATTTGCCAATACTCGAATAGGTAGGAGATGGGTACGAACAGAAAAACTGCTTCGAGTTCAGATTGTATTGCTAAAGCTGGAGTTGTCCATTGCACAAGGGAAATTTGGATCCAGAGTTTAGGCAGTTTTGATGGTACTTGCTAGGATTTGTTGCAGTTGTACCTTCACAATGGGTTTTGTCCTTAAGAATTGCAGAATATTGAGTTGGTTGCAAATGGGGAAGTTGGGAGCAGGAGCTTGTGGAAGTAGAAAAGACTCCAGGGTGTGCTGACAGCACTGAAAGGATCAGTAGGCACAACTTTCTTTCTGTATACTGTGTTGCTTATGTCTACAGCTGTTGGAAGCTACTTGTGTGTACAGAGCTGCTGTATGCAAGTAGCATTTGGCATCTGTGTCCTGATGAATTCCATATCGAGTGGGGGAAATGCTGTGTTTTAACATTCTAATTTTGCTGTAAGCCCTAATGGTTTATTGTTTGTGTTAGAAAAGACAAAAGAACCAAAGGCAGCCATGTAATGAGCATGTAATTAAAAAATGGTTTTAGCAGAGTAAAGATTTAGCACAGATCTCTCATGACTAGTCCAAGAAAGAATCAGAGCATCCAGGTATTGAGATGACGGAGCAAAATCTACAGATCTGGATACCCCAGGCTCAGTTTTTTGAGGCTCTGAGGTGCTCCTTGCTGCTGATGCTTCTGTATGAAATGGCAAAGTTTGGTTTTGTTCTGTGTATGTTTGTCTTCTTTTATTTTTATCTGCTGTTCAGGTTATTACTGCATCTTAGGACATGTCTGTATGTTGTGTGCTCTCTGCTTTCGCTTGACTGGGTTGGGGCAAGCAGTGCATAGAAGTGCTGGTGGTTTATAACTTTCACTTAAGTTTTTTTTATTGCCGTTATATTTTTGTTTGTTTATTTGCTGGGGTGCAACTTGTCTTCTGAAACAGGAGAAATTGCCCATAAAATGCAGTCTATATAATGTATGTGTCTTTGAAGCAGAGAGGCTGTTTTTAATTGGAGCGTATAGAAAGCCACATTACCTTCTGTAATGAGTTAAGGTAATGCAGCCTTTACCTACAGAATAACTACTTTAATGAATATTTTATGCAAAAGAGAAGATTTAAACCTATGTTGGAATTACACTTGCCATGTAGATGCCACATTCATCCTGTGTTAATGCCTAATTTAAATGAATAGGACCTCTCATATGCAATTTTTATGCACCTCTAAAAAGTCCTGCAAATGGTTGAGCTTGTACAAAATCCAGGTCCCTCCTAGTGATCTTAGAAGCTCAATACATGAGACACATTCCTGACCACTGTATCTCCAAAGGTATGCAGAAACAGAGGGGTTTTTTGCCTTAGAAAGACACACAGAGAATCAACATCCAAAACCTTTAAGAGAGGGAATGATTCAGTATCTGACTTCCATCAGACTCTCCGAGTCTAAACATACAGTTTCAAAGTTGGGGTTTATCCTTCATAAGCAATAGCTGCTGGTTCTACTAAGCTAGAACAGAACATTCTTGCCCTATCAGATGATTGAACCTACTATGTTGTATAAAGAAATCCC